CATATGCTTACAGTAAAAAAAACCTAGATGTAACAAATATGATATATAAATATAATAATCTAGATATAATATATATAATACATGAATTCAGTAAACCTAAATATAGCAAATATAATATATAAATATAATAATCTAGATATATAATAAATATAATATACGAACAGAGTAAAAAACCTAGATATAACAAATATAATATATAAATATTGAATATCATAGTATAGATATTATATATATATATATATATAATATTCAAAATATAATAATCTAAACACAGAATACTTACGATCACGCAAATATATGTTAAATTCGATCTTATCGCTACCATCTAGCCGATCATCGGACCCATTTACTATAAAACAAATATGTCTCTCCGCAACGTAATCCTGGGTCCGAATAGACCCGCCCGCGCCTCCACCGCAGAGAAACTCGCGATAAAAACAATTCCGCCTCGCGAAATTCCTGATATTCGACGAGTTCGAATAATTAAATCCACGGTGTATTATCCGCGAGAAATCCATTTATTCGAGATGAAAAGTTACTGATTGGGCCCGATTGGCCCCCCACCACGGACCAAAGAACGTTGTCCCGTCGGATCGGGCCGATATCCCCCGATTCGAATCCCGATTCAGTTTCCGAATCATCGTTCAATCGCCGGCCGAAGATTTTCAATTACGCCGAAGAAGAGAAAGTTCCATTTTATCGGGGAACGGCACCGCGCTGGTCGAGGGCCCGGCCCGGCCCGGCCCGGCCCGGATTACGGTATTATACATTAACGAAAGCGCGGCTTTCACGTAAGATACCCGTACGAATGAAAGATAAACGCCATTCTCGCGGGCGGGACGCTGTTTGCGAAGCACTCATTGTACACTACTTGAGAAGTTTCGCAACTACGGCGGACGAGGGAGGAGGGGGTGGGGGAGCGATATTCTTGCTACCCGCGCGGCAACTTCCGGGCACGTGACGTTTTGTCGTTTCCCCGCAATCATGCTTAATTAATTATCGATCGGTCCCATAACCGTCTCGTCGATGGCCGCGCCCCTGATTTTCCGTTTTCTCCGTCCGAACTGGATTCGAGATTGATCGGAGACTCGGCCGTTGCCAGACGCCGGCGACGCGGCGACTCGCGAGCCGCCGCGAACGAAATGGTTCGCCGTTTTTTCTTCTTCTTTCGTCCCGGAAACTCATTCGTTTCCGGTCGGTTTCGCGAAACTGGAAACGAGACACTTTGTTATCGCGATTAATCGCTCGTATACGATGTTACCAAGCCGCCGGAGGTTTTTTCACTTCCATTAAAAAGTGATTTAGGCGTTTATTAAACGCGAAACAATTGCCCGGGTACGTTCGGGAATAGGTGAATGGAAGGGTGAACGGCGTTTGAAAAAGATATTAACCGATATGGCGAGAATTATGGAAAAATTCAACGGTCGACCGGTGCGACGGTTTTTTTTAATACTTTGGAACGTCGACGGTCTAGAATAAAAAAAAATGTGCACGAAATTGAAGCATTTTATTCGGTCGAATCGAAAAGTTGAACTACGTCTCGTTTCGAGATCATTATCTCTCGCGGATTCTAATGAAATTAGGGAGACGCGATGGATTAACGCGAAAGTTCATTCTCGTATCCGAGCAACAATCTCGCTTAAATTTTTTTTAATTACGAAACTAGCGATAACAATTGTTATAAAAGTGTTCTTGGAATTGATCAAATCTCGCCTCGAATTTCAGACAATTCGCAGGCAATTCGAAGGCAATTCGAAGGCAATTCGAAGGCAATTCGAAGACAATTTGAAGGCAATTCGAAGGCAATTCGGAGGCCACTTGACACGATTCGAAGGCAATTCGCAGGCCACGTGACATAATTGAAAGGCAACAATTGTTATAAAAGTGTTCTCGGAATTGATCAAATCTCGCCTCGAATTTCAACGCGGCGATCCGGAAGATTTTGATTCCGTTCCCGCAGGAATTATGAATACGAATTTGTTGAAGGAGTCGTCTCTCTCTTTCTCTGTCTGGGAGGAAAGTTCGCGTTTGTTCCGCGAACAAATATGCCGCAGAGGTGCTGAGCCGTTCAGAAAGTTTCGAAACCGCGGCCGAGTAGACAGTTTAGTAAGCGGAACTCGTTATTCTTAAATTTAATCGCCGTTATTTCTTCGAATCGTATATCCGGGAATCGCGTCGACGTTAATCCCGAACGGTTTGCTCGTCGAAGTTCGAGAACGAGCGACGATAAATCGTTTGTTATATCCAAGAAAGCTCGAAATTATTCTTCAGCATTTATTAGGAATAACGTCCGCGCGAAAATCTGCTGTACAAATGTTCGTGTGACGCGAATATTTTAATCAGGCGTTCTTTTCGTATAATATATCGATGCTCAAATCAAAATGTCGAGCTGTCTGTTCCGCCATTCTCATTCGCGATAAATATAGCGAGCAGACATCGGTCACGCGGGTTCGTCTGCCATCGGAATATCGAATTTTTGAAATAAATTTCTGCGTCCCGAATGTTCCAACTCTCTCCGACATGACCGACTGAAATTTGATCTTGCCGACTGAAAATTTTACTGTAATTGATCCACACGTCCATTCTGTCTTCCAGAGAAATCAGCTGTCTGTCTATTTCGGTGTAGAATTTTCAAATTCGTGAAATTACGGAGGCTGTTTCTGTAAAAATGAAAGGGTTAAATGTGTAAGTAAATTTGATCTTGTCGTTTTTATAAAACAAAATTCGTCGGCCGCTTTCGGAGCTCGGTTTATCCATTTGCTGCATAAGTTCGTGAAATGATTTATAATTTGCTGGAAGAAAATTTATTATATTCGTGTTCGTTATATTATTATATCAATATATCAATATTTCATTATATTATTATATCAATATATAAATATATCAATATTTCATTAGATTATTATATCAATATATCAATATATTAGTATACGAATATATTCGTTATATTATTATATCAATATATCAATATATTAGTATATGAATATATTCGTTATATTATTATATCAATATATCAATATATTAGTATACGAATATATTCGTTATATTATTATATCAGTATTTCATTATATTATTTATATAAATATATCAGTATATTAGTATACGAATATTATTATTCGTATACTAATATAACTACGTTATATTATTATATCAGTATATCAATATTTGATTACATTATTATATAAGTATATCAACATATTAGAGTATATACGAATATATTCGTTATATTATTATATTCAGATCGTATAATAATATTAAATTAATAATAATATCGTTTATAATTTGCAAGTAGAACCGACAAGCCCGTCGCACCTTCGCGCGGAAAGCTATTCGCGTGTAACACGGTGTCGGATTGGGTGCGGCGATAATCGAAAATTCCGCGGATACTGTAATCGCGTCGCGGACGCGGTTCCGTGCGAATCGCGCGACGGCTTTTTGATATCGGCGCCCCCGCAGCCCGGCGGTGCGTGTCCAAGACGGTTTTCCAGATTCCGGAGGCGTGTGCTTATTCCGTAGCCGGCTATCGATACATGTATCTGAATACAGTCCGCTACGGAGCCGCAATATTCTGTGTAAGCGCTCCTCCAGACTACGATTACAGCCGTATGCTCGGCACCTCACGAATGGTCGATATAACAATGACGACGATAATACTCGATGGTGCGTGACCGAAATGCAACGCTCGTTGCGGCCGACGATAATACCGGTCCCTGGATTCACGTGCGCCGACTAAATTTCAACGGAATGCGAGGCCGTACATGTCAAATAAAATTAACATTTCGATCCGCTCCTCTCCTTTTCCCCTCCGTCTCCTCCTCCTCCTGCTCCTCCTTTTCCTCGCTCCGCTTCCGCGATTATTTCTTCTCGGAGCGCACGTAACGATCGCGAGGTTGTTCGCGATCTAGCGAACGGCGAAACGAAACGATTTTCGGTATCGGCGATCTTAACCAGTCGCCGTGCCATTATCATCTTTGTCATTGCCGTGATTAACGATTTGACGAGAGACGTGATTCGGGAATGTTCTGCTAATTCTGGAGATATTCTAGCATTTCTGATATTTCGGGCGTGATTTTATAGTATTTCTGATATTTTTGGAGGTGTTGTAGTATTTCTGATATTTCTGGAGGTGTTATACTATTTCTGGAGATATTCTAGCATTTCTGCTATATTTCTGGAGATATACTATTTATGCTATTTCTGGAGATGTTATACTATTTCTGGCGTTTCTGGAAATATTATACCATTCCTGCTATTTCTGGAGATGTACTATTTATGCTATTTCTGGAGATATCTATTTATGCTATTTCTGGAGATATTCTACTATTTCTGCTGTTTCTGGAAATATTATACTATTTCTGCTATTACTGGAGATATTCTACTATTTCTGCTGTTTCTGGAAATATTATACTATTTCTGCTATTACTGGAGATATTCTACTATTTCTGCTGTTTCTGGAAATATTATACTATTTCTGATATTTCTGGCGGTGTTATACTACTTCTGCTACTTCTGGAGATATGCTATTTATACTATTACTACTGTTTCTAGAAATATTATACTATTTCTGCTATTTCTGGAGATATTATACTATTTCTGCTATTTCTGGAAATATTATACCATTTCTGCTATTTCTGGAAATATTATACCATTTCTGCTATTTCTGGAGATGTTATACTACCTACTTTAATTATTTACTTTATTTTGCTTCATTTCTTTCAATACACACTAGCGTATCGAACACACACACACTCCAATTGTCCTTCAGCTTGTGTCCAAAAATTACCAATTTGAAAAGAGAAAAATTATTCCAGCCTCGCGACCCGTGTTCATACCAACTACGTGTTCCCAAATTGTCCACATTTGCGCACACAAGCCGAACACCAATTAAACATAGAATTTCTCTCAGCATCTTCGAGAACCAAATCACCACATCCCATCCCACTAACAACAATAACAACAATAACGCTCTACTAACACCCTCTATCTTCTCTTCTTTCCAGATCGGTAGTCGCTCGCCTAACTAACAACGCCTCGTGCCTCGACTGTCCACTAACCGTCCCCGAAACGATGAGCCCGGTCTCGTAAAGAGGCCACACAAAGAGAGCAAGAAAGCGTTGGAGAGAGAGAGAGAGAGAGAGAGAGAGAGCTCGAAAGAGAGCTCTAGAGAGAAAGGAAGATAGACATACAATAAGTCCAACGTGATCTCTCGGAATCGCGGCCGATCCAGGTTGGATCGTGGTGACCAAGAGAGACAAAGAGAGAGAGAGAGAGAGAGCAATAAAGAGAAAGAGGGAGAGAGAGAGGAAGAGAGAGCGGTCGTCGTTGGTCGTTGATCTCGCGGGATCGATCATGCGAATTACTGAAGATGCGCAGGACGAGCAGCAACGGTTTGAAGCTCGACCTAACAGAGAACACTCCAGGTAGCTCGTTGTCGAGGCTGCCGAACTTAGTCGAGCATGCGGAGACCTGTCAGGCACTGTCCGCCGGAACCGGTGAGAATTTAAGCAGCAAACTGCCGAACGTGGTCGAGGGCTCGATGGACTATGGTAGCGAGCGTAGATCCTCCCGGTACCTCGAGTACCAAGACACGAAACCTTATCAGGATCCCCAGCCGGGCACCGGATTGCCGGCGTACGAGCAGCCGGGCTACCACGAGCCGCCGAGGACCGGCTACAGGGGCTACGAGCGGAACCCGTACGACAGAGAGGATATTGACCGATACGATAACAGAATTTATCCGGAGGACGGGCTGAGGTACGATCGTCGCGGGGATCAACGAACGTACCAGGAGTCGGACTTGGACGCGCCTTACGAGAGGAGCGATGCCCAGAAGCTCAGCAGGGCTTATCCGGCGGAGCTGCAGGAGCCCGGCAGGCGGTACTCCCGCGATTTGACCGATTACGAGTACGCGTCCCGGTACGCCGAGGAGACGCTGAAGCTCGAGCCGAAGAAGGACCACCATCACCATCACGCCGCCGGCAAGGGGTACGAGCCGGCCCCGTCGAAGGGCTACGAGTCCGGCGTGAAGACCCACGACTCCGCTTACGAGCTGTCCTGCGCCGGCCAGCAGGCCAAGTACCACTCCGTCAACAAGATGTACGGCACCCTGCCCAGGTACGAGACGGCCAAGTCGTACGAGCACAGACCGTACGAGTACGACGAGCAGGCCACCTACGACACGAACGGCAAGCCCGGCTACGACGCCAAGTACGATCTGACCACGTCGAAGAGCTACGAGCGAGCCAAGTACGACTGCTCGTCGTCCTCGAGGTACCAGGACAAGTCGTACGATCAGACCCTGAAGATCGGCGAGCTGGGCTCCGCATCGTCCGCCGCCGGTTACGCGAGAAAGGCGCAGGATCAGGAGGAGACCAACGCCGAGAAGATGAACGGCTATCGGAAGAACAACTTCGAGTCTTACGGCGTCTATTCGGATCCCGAGGACGACCACGGATTCCTCGCCGAGAAGAAGACGCCGCAGTATCCGTACAAAGGGGTCGTCGTCAATGTCAGCGGCGAGTCGAGCGTGATCGATCAGAAACGGGTCACCGCCGGCAGGCAGACCGAGATGCCCGGAAATCCGTGGTGCAGGCCCACCATTCTGCTCCTGCTGCTGGTCCTGCTGGTCGTCATCTTCGTCTTCGTCGCTGGGATACTTTTGTACCTAAACTGTGAGTCTTTGCGTGTTTTTTTCTGATCGAGTTTCTCATGGTGGTAGCTTTGGCGTAGCTCTGATAGATTTCCAGGCGAGACGGATGACACCGAATTCAACGCCGGAATTCTGTGCTGACATCATCGTTGAGAGATTGACATCTGTGACCTCTGGCAGGAGGTCTTTTTAAGACCTCTTTTTAATGATTTGGATTAAGCGATTTGAAGTTTGGTTCGTTTTGCTTAGTGTTGCAGGAACTAGTTCGCTGCGACTGGATTGCTTCTGTGTAATTTTTACATTACCTGGATTATGAGATGCGATGATGAGAAGGCTGATTCGTGTGCATACTATATGTGCATGAATTTCATTGCAATGATGTTGCATTATAAATTTGATTCGAAGTGGTTGTTTGATGATACGGATCTTTATGGAAATTTCGATGAATATTTCGACTGTGACTGATGATTTTAAGTGCGAGGCAATCGTTGCGATCTTTTTCTTAAGTTTCTATTATAATAGAAACTAAATAGTTTCAATTATAATAGATTTTTTATGTATAGAAATTTAAATAGTAGATTACATTTTTATAGATTTTAGATCGGAGTCTATTACAATGAATTTTTCTTTTAATACATTTTTATACAAATATAGATAAATATATATTATACAAATATAGATAAATTTGATAATCTTAATAAATCTACATTAATCTAAATTAATCTAAATTAATCTATTTTTAACAGATATATTGTTTATATTTATCTCACTGAACTGATCTCAGTAAAAAAATTCCTATCTATCTATTTTCTCCAAATTCATCAGCAAAAATTCGTCGAAAATTCGCCTAAACGAATCCCCGATCTAGCCAGAGCACGAACGATCGTCCAAGAATCGGAAAAATGCCAGAAAAATCGAGCCCCGACGAAGAAGCCACCAAGCTGTGCGAGAGATAACGATTCGACGCGCGCGGATGCCGGCATCTCTCGAGGACGCATCCGCAGAAAAATACATCAAAGTTTCCGTTTCGTGTTCCGAAGGCAAAGGACGATTCGGATTAAACGGCCCGGCCCCGTCCGGTGGAAGCGGCGCGTTCGCTGTCGGCGCTGATAGTGCCCGTTAAAAGTTATGAGTCACGTTCCGCGCGGAAGCGAATGCTACTTGTTAAGAAGCTTTGTCGGAGGGATAAGGAATTAGCGAAGTTGCAACGCTACAAAGGCTAATTCGCCGCGCGGCTAATAGTACGTCCGGCCAGCGTTCGTTTTCTCGTTCGCCGTCATTTTCTTGCTCGGCCGCGGGCCGCGCCGCGCCGCGCCGCCTGCCTCCGCAAGGGCCATTTAGTTAATGAGCATCCGATACCAATTATTTACGGTCGGGGCCATGTGACCGGCATGATAATGGCCGAGCGAGCGGACGGGCGACGCCGTGGACGGCGACGCCGACGATCCCCGACGTCGTTGCACACGTGCCGACGATACGTTAAGCCCGGCCCGGTTACTGTCTCCGCCGGCAGTTTTATGGGCCGGGCTTGACATGCCCGGCACGTAGGGACTTACCACGACCGACACTGATCGGCGGAATTACAATGCGCCTGGTAAATCGAAGAACACGGTTTAAAGAGTACAGATGGCCCCGGCTGACGTTTATCATCGGTCCTGTTCCGCGACGTTTCGTTGATTCCGACCGACGGAAACACCACCTCCTCCTCCTCCTCCTCCCTGCCCCGACGAACGCTGTAAACCGAGTTCAGCTTTTACATTCCGACGGCTTTAGTACGCCGCGACTCTGTCGCCGAAACCTCGCGTTGCTGTTCGATACGATTTTATTATCGATCTTTCGTGTATTTTATGGACACGGTGCACGATATTGTTCGACGCCGCGATTTTCTGTCACGTCGAATGAAGCAGTTCACGGTTGAGTTGGCGGAGTTGTTTCGTTGACGAATGTGTAAACGGTGCACTGGCGCTTTAATTGTCATTTAGATCGAAATTGTAAATGGTGGACTTTGGTGGAAATTGAGTTAGAATTGAAATTAAAATTGAGTTGAAATTGAAATTGCACTGAAATTGAAATTGAGTTGAAATTGAAATTAAATTGAATTGAATTGAATTGAAATTGAATTGGAATTGAATTGGAATTGACTTGAAATTGAATTGATATTGAATTGAAAACGAAATTGAATTGATATTAAAACTGAAGCGAAATTAAAATTGAATTGAACTTAGTATCGAGTCGAAATTAAAATTGAATCGAAATTAAAATTGCACTGAAATTAAAATTGAGTTGAAAATGTAATTGAAATTGAAATTGAATTGAATTGAATTGAATTGAAATTGAAATTGAAATTGAATTGATATTGAATTGAAAACGAAATTGAATTGATATTAAAATTAAATCGAAATTAAAGTTGAATTGATATTAAAATTATATATAAATCGAAATTAAAGTTGTGTGTGAATCGAAGTTAAAATTGAATCGAAATTAAAATTGTGTCGAAGTTAAAATTGAGTCGAAATTAAAATTGAATCGAAATGAGAGATAATTTGTCCCTTTTTCCCGAGAACAGTGTTGAATCGCGAATAATACACAACTTTTGCAATTCAAGCGGCGTCACAACTAACCGTGTTTCATCGACAATTGATAATTTCAAAAATTTGCGTTGCAACCGCAATTTTGTATTTTATCGGTCCCATCAATATCAATAATTTTGTACTTTAATTGGTCCCATTCGAGAGGGAAACAGCAGAAAATCTGTATTTTCGTCGAAGTAACATCAATAGAGCTGAATTCTATTCAGAGTCCACAAATGAAACGAAAGTCTATTATTCGACAAATAATTCCGTTTTATCGCGAATCCGGCGATGAATAAAACCGACGATATTCGGTATTCGTTAAAAGAAGAGATTTTCGCGAAAGGATTACTTTCCAAACATTTCTCTACAGATTCATCGACCCTCGCGAAGGACAACAAATTCTCACGAAAGTTTCTCTCCATTCTCTGTTCGTATAAAAAAAAAGCAAGCTCCGTCGTATTCTAAATTGTCGAATTAATTCGCGAATCACCGAAAGCAAAAAGAAAACGATATTAGGCAATACCATTTTCATCGGGCGAATTTCGAGCGTCGGCACGGAACGCGGAGGCTCGGTTTTAGTGGAAACGTCCGATCGGAGTTTTTGTGTATTTTATATCTTCTGGAGGCAAGTGGAAGCGCGGCCGAACACTTATGGAAGGCTGTATACCCGGAATTTATTTTATTCTCGGCGTTATAGACGCGCCGAGAGCTCCGTGCTGGATAAGAAATTTCCTGCAAGACGGCGGCGTTGCCGCTTTCTGGAGCAATGCCTCGGAGATTTTGGCGGGCTCCTCGCAAAAATTACATCGTTTCCGCGGAAAGATATGCCGAGCCTTATGAAATTCGAACACTCGAGGACAACGAGTAGTTTCGGAAATCAAAAAATTGCTCGCGGACATCGCGAATTAAGTCACTCGACGCTGGAACTGCCGAGGCTAATATTCATTGCGAGACTAATATTTATTGTTTTATAACAGCTGCAATAATATTCGATTCTCCTAAACTTCGTACTATTTCTATTGTAATGAATAAACAATTTAGAATTATAAAAATTAATAGGTACATTTTTATAATATCAAGAATCGTGAAAGAAACAATTAGGGACCAATCATTTCAGCTTCTTTGTTTCAGTGTTAAAAGATATCGCAAAAATATACTTGCAGTTAATTCTCAATTAATTTACGTAGCAGTTAATTGCTTCACAGTACGAAATATAATATTTATTAAGCCTTTTGACTCCGAGGCACCTTTACAATTGCAAGATAACTTTTATTTTATCGAAGCTCAGATTTAAAAAATTGTTCAAAGTTTAACTATCGTATGAGTCGCAAGACTCAATTCCAGATGCACAAAATGCACTTTGTCACATAAAATAGAGACTCTACAAGTCAGAGAAATTATTTCAGATTTACGGTTAAAACGCTTTCGCCTGCAAAGGGTTAAAATCGCCTAGATTCGTCCCTAAAGCAAAAACCTGCGACGATCCGACGAAACAAATTCCCTGACACAATTGTTCTGTTATATTCAAATAATTATATAGTATTATATATAATTAGAATAATCTTCACGCTTCGACGCAACAATTTATAATTATAACAATTGTTACAATAATTATGCACATCACGTTACGTAACAACGTACGCATATCGCAAACTGTTTCAAAAAGTCAAACGAACCGTTTACAAACGAACATTAAAAAAAAAGGTAAAAAAACACGGCCCAAAAGAACCAAAAAAAGCGTACGAATAAAACAGTCGATAAAAAGCGACGAGATCCGCGCGTGCTAGGTATTTAAATATGGCGGCGCGCGATGCCTAGAAGTTCGCCGGAATGAAAATGAAATTGCAGCCGGTTAGGTTTGCCGAAGCTCGTGAGCAGCGAACTTTCGCTCACACAAGCTGCGCGAGTATGAAGAACTTAATTATGAAGTTTAGGGACAGGCCCCGCCCCGGCTTAATACACAATTCTTCCGGATTAAGCGTATCTCTGTTCCGACACGGCGGGGAGCAACGCCGGCGGATCGGGCCTCCGAACTTTTTACGGCAATTTAATTTGCTTTCTTGATAATATCGCGCACGAAACGGGTGCGGAGGGGACGGCGGCTGGGAGGGAAAGGGGTAGAAGAGCATCATCGTCCGCCGGCGGAAACCGCGGCGGGGTTCGTAACGCGCGCACGTATCCGGAATACAGAACGCGGAAAGAGTAATATCGGGAATCATGGCGGACGAGGGCTGGTTGGCTGGCTGGTTTTCTCCGGAAATCATTGAAGATCTTTGCTCAGTCGTTCATGAGATTGCAACGCGTGTTACGGAGGGTCGGCCGTTCTCTCGCCCTGTCCCCTCCCCGAGGAGGAATATAAACCGGCTCGTTTCGTGCCAGCCAATTCGCTGTTTACGAGTGACGTTCCGTATTTCGATCGGGAAGTCAATTACGCTTATATTCGCATAAT